CTATCATACTCGATATAGCTAGCTAACTCAATAAAAGTGGTACGGATAGCTAGCTATCACAAGCCGATATTGCCCGATAACATATTTTTATAGCTAGATAATCTCAAAGGCATTTTTTTGCTTGGGGAGGCAACCTTCCCGGGTATCAAACGCTGTTTTCAGTGATCTTATGTCAGCTGATACAGGAAAGTGTTCTAGTTAAACTTCTAAAAGATTTTGTACAACGAAATCTTCTCTCAAAGTATGTTTTTCAGAGGATCTTTAGAAAACCAAGTTTAGTCGCAAGAACTTGCAATATAAATATTCTGTTTTTTTACATGGGTAGATAATCCAAAGTGTGCTCTTTCAGTTGGCAAATTGACTCAAGTCAATTGACGAAAATTAGATTTCGAGATTATTTTCACTCAATATTCAGAAATTTATAGTTTGCTCAGAAACCACCACATCGAGTTGAAAAAACTTTAGAATGTAGAGTAATTATGCTATTCTATATCTATTTATAAGAAATAGAGAAAAAAACAAATTTACAAAACCCCATGGTTTCCCAACGGAACTCTAGAAATGTTCTGGGCAAATATTTGGTTTTTATTTCTTCGACAGTAATAATTACGTTTAATAGAAAAATTTAGCCTATAAAGGGTGTTTCATAATAACTGATGATAAATTGTCGATGACATTTCACATACTTTTTCTTGATGAAAAATTCAGCTGCTTTTTGCAAAAGATTCACCATTTAATTCTCAACAAAATGATATGTAGAAGATGATTCTGAGACTCGAGGTGCAGCCTTAATTGAACAACAACAGGCATATCCCAACAACTTGAAAAATTTAACTCGAAAAAATATATCTCGTTAGTATAAGCTTAAATGTATCAGCTGTGCACACATAAATCGGCCAAAATGTAGCCCTTGGAATTCTCTATCGAATGGCTATAATGCGAATTTTCTGTCGTTATTTTCGTGTGTTCAATGATGCTTTTTGCAAAAGATCGGTGACTATTTTTTCAGCTTTTTCAACGTACATTTTGAAGCTGTTTGTAAAATGAATAGCGCTCACTCAGAACTGAACCAATCAGGCTTATTCTTGCTTCATGTTGAAGAAAAACGTTTTATCTATTCGATTCGAGTGCGAAATGTCTGATGTCACTTCCTTGATAATAATGGAAACATTGAAACTACCATTTTGTTCATTTTCGGCTGCCAATTATTAACTAAACATTTTTACCACATCGAATGGATGGGGAGGAAATGGACCTTGCCCCAACTGATAGAGACATCTAAACGCGCCAAGAACAACCTGAGATCTTTTCGCCGTCACTTTGGACATGGGTTTCAAAATTCAAAATCATTGTCGCAAAACATTTTAGTTTTTGAAAGTATAGGGCATTTCGATTTCTATTCAATTAAGGCTGCACCTCGAGTCTCAGAATCATCTTCTACATATCATTTTGTTGAGAATTAAATGGTGAATATTTTGCAAAAAGCAGCTGAATTTTTCATCAAGAAAAAGTATGTGAAATGTCATCGACAATTTATCATCAGTTATTATGAAACACCCTTTACCCTGATATTTTTGAACTCGTTCTAGTGTTTTCCGCGTGACCTGGAAATTTTTTAATATTAGGTAAAACAACCTGGAACTCTTGTTTAAAACAAGCATTGGCTCGAGATTCAGCGTGGTCAATTTACTATGTTTCATGCGATTTAACGATTACTCCTAGACACCAGATGCCAGTCTAAGTAAAATCCGATACTCCGACCAAACTGCCAAAAATCAAGGTCTCGCTTGACTCCCACTTGGAAGAGAACATTTTGGATTATCTACCCATGTAAAAAAACAGAATATTTGTATTTCAAGTTCTTCTAGTTAAAACTTGGTTTTCGAAAGATCCTCCACCAAACATCCTCCGCAGAAAAGATTTTTAAAATGACTTTCATGACGAAAAGATGCGGTCATGTCTTTGCTGCCAATTGTTGTCGATTGAAAGTCTATATCATTTTCTTGACAAACGGTATTCAAAAAACATCCGAGTTCATTCTTCTCTTTTGCCGACAATAGAGACAATATTTCTCATACAAGCGATCCTTCATATATATATATATATATAACTGTTCTTAAATGTCAGCCAGTTGTTCAGCAAAAACGACGAAGTTTTTGTGCAGAAACATAGAGTAACATAACTACAAATAGTAACAAAAAGATGATCATTTCAAAAGATCTACATTAATGCTGTTTGACATCCGGATAATACTTATCTTTGAATCCTGGAGCTAGTACAACGATTAATTTGTTCGTACTTTTGACGGCTTTCCTAATACTTATCAAATGTTTTTTGGGCACGACTCGGAAAAACTGGTAACCATCATCCTCACAAAAAATGACATATACACAAATACATACACGACAGAAAAGAAAATGAAGGCGTGCATGGTTATATCTGTGTTGTGAAACAACGCTGTATACATGTATATTGTGAATATATTATAGCGTTACACAGATGGTCGAGCAGTCTCCACTTAACTATGATAACAATAGCATAGACTGTACATTCAAAAACAGAATCACGTACCCGCACGTGAAGTTTTCAAATTCAAAACCTCGAGAAAGCATAAGAATATTAAGACTAATCAGTATGGTAATCAAATATTAATTACTGTTCTATCGTACATAAAAGTGTGAGGTAAAAAAACTGATTAACCTGAGACCATCAATACTATGGTTACTATGCTTCCACGTTGATTACTAAAATTACTATGCTACTGATTTACACCTTCATATACATAGTAATAATGGTCCCAGATTAATTCGTCTGAACCTTATACTTCTATTTAGAGTACACCAGTAATTACTGAAAAGTGATCTAATAGGCTCAAACATGGATGGCAATTACTCTGACATATTATTTTGGATGTTAGTGGATGTTCCTGACAAACAAGCTCTAAAGGATCCTCTTTGAAATAAATTTTATTTATCAAAATGAGATGAATCTAGCGACATGGAGCAACGTTGTATGATTCATGAAACAGACTAAAAGCTGACACAGCAATTTATTTCGTTTAATTGTCACTTTCTTTCAATACACTCTTTGTTATTATAGGTTGATTTTCACTGTTAACTGCAATAATCGGCCAGTTGGTTTTCGTCTACTCTAGCATTCCAATAGTAATATACATATATATCACAAAATGTGAGGCTATAACGGCCATGACTAAAACACGTACACTCGTACAGTGCACTCGACTATACGAGTGCACTATACGAGTGTACGTGTTTTGGTCATGGCCGGCTATAACTGTTCGGTTTCCTCTTTTTCTTCTGTCGGAAAGAAAAGGTGACAAATGTCAAGCAAATGTCAATAGATATATCTCTATTCGAATGCTAGAGGCCCACTGAAAGAAAATTACGTAGAAGAAAAAAAATTCTCTCTCTCCAAAACATATAAAAGTAGACAGTCTAACATCGAATTCATCATTCGGATATACACATTGAAACGTTCTTGTTATTGAAGTTTAAAATTATATAATCAAAATGTAAGTAACACTAGCGGACTTTCTTCTGTCTTCAACAGTTTAACACAGCTGTCATTTTTGTCTTTAGAATGAATAATTCTAATCGTCTCTATCTATTATGTTGTTTTACAATTCTTGGTTTATTAATAGGAAAATATGATTCTTTAAAATCGGCTCAGCATCAACGAGGTAGATAAAAAAGTACTCTTCTATGAATGAATCGTCACTTTATAGCATTTCACCCCCGACTGTAGATTCTGTAAATCGTTTCTAAAAATTTATTTTATTCTATCTTTTTGCCTCCTATTACAATTTATCCCATTAGAGATAATTTAAAATGCCTGCATGAAGAAACAAAAAAAATAGAAATAGGCCATTTTGTATAGAGCGTTATTCTACCGAAACATGTGACCCGTGCTTCGTTCCCGTCTTTCAGTACCGTCCAGCTAGGAAATGCTATGACAGAGTCTGAAAGACATCATATATGATCTACGCATAAAAAACGAATAGAATATAGGACATCTAAATTCTATTGGTAAAAAGCTTTGTACTCGGAGAAGAATATTTTCAGAATTAATTCTACTAGTGCTTCTAAACGAGTGAGCAGATTTAGATTAAGATAAACAGTTCAAAATCGTACGTAAACGTTCTCATTATATAAATCGATTTGTCCGTTACATTAATAAAATTTCTAGTCTTTTATACAATTTAGATGCAAAATGTTATGGTAAATCATTGGGCGGTAATGTTGGTACAGGAAATGCAAGTACTTATCGTTACTGGTATAATGAAAATAAGTGTCAATCATTTATCTACGGCGGTCGTGGTTTATCATATGAGACAGATAATATATTTAAAACGAAAGTAGCATGCTGCTATACATGTTCCGTCCAGATATGTAAAGAATGTTTAATCAGATCTTATAACAGAGTTTGCAACAGTTGCTCTTAATTATTATTTTAGGTGAAGAGGATACTTCAATCGACAACAAAGGTAAAAGAAATACAAGGTAGATTTGGCCGTATAGTAGTGTTAACAACAAACGATTTCTGATGCAGTAGGACAACCGCCGTGTCACGTGGTATTTAATGCATTTTCCTACAGAAAAGAAGGAATTTAAAACTTAGTTCGATCTGCCATCTCAATAAGAAAGCGTCAATATAACTAACGGAGGAAGCTCCCCAAGTGGGAAATTGCTTTTGGCTCGAAACTTAGTTGACAACAGGTAATCGACGATGCTGAATCCGAATATCACAATGGTTTCGCCTAACGTTAAGGTTTTGAGGCGAATTTCTGGAAAACCAGTTTTTCGGAAACTCTGGAAAACAACCAAAACTTTCATTAATGAAACATGCTTGTAGCCCGCACATTTCTGATTAAAATGAGACCTCTCCCAACTCTACATGGCCTTTCTTTGCATAGTTATAGAATTCACAAGCCCTAAATGTTCATTGTCAACTCAAAGCTACAGAAAGAAGAAGGAATAAATTCATTCAGGGCTTTTCTTGTAAATTCTATAACTATACAAAGAAAGGTCATTTAGAGTTGGGAGTCTCATTTTAACCAGAAATGTGTGAAATTCTTTATTCATTAAAAGTTTTCAACCTTTCATTTTTTATCTAATTAAGAAAAACCCACGCTATTTCAATTAACCGACTATGAATTAGAAGAATTTGTGGGACAAAAAGTAAATGACGTTCGAAACAAATTAGAACGCTTAGGTATTAAACTCTTTCTTGTCTCTTAGATCCAAAATCATTTTAAGTTTTCTTTTTTGTCTAGGTTACCTCGTTTATGTTGTTCGTAGAAGTCCTTCTGCTACTGAACCACCTCAAACTAACCGAGTTAGTGCAATTATCACGTACAGTGGTGCTGACAACCGCGTTACAAAAATTGTACAACGAACAAGTTAAGAGCTCAGTACTTTATGTAGTGTGTACGCAGACAGATAAAAGAAACTTAATTAATTCATTTGATAATTATGGTTACAAATTAGTTTGAAAAATAAATAAATTGAACTTTTTTGAAAAACAGGGAACGCGTACGTGTATGGGTAAAGATGAAGATTTTTTTCTGGAACGTGCATTCTCACAAATTATACATATTCTAAAAAGTTAAGGGTAACCTGTCTTCTCTTTTTGGGCTTTCCGCAGAGATGCAACAAAACTGAAACAAAACTAGAAGTCACTAGGAGTTCGTATTTTTAGAACTAATTGGAACTCAATGGAGCACTTTTTTGTTTTTGACTTTCAGTGATTGCTCTACAATGCGAATGTTATACTTTTCAAATTTGAGAGCGGATCAAGCGGATTTATTTTTGTGCATTTCTTTCACAGACTATGCTTAGCTCACTGCAACTATACGTAGTATTAGCTTATTACCGTTCTGTAGTACACGATGCTGAATTCAAATCTTATACCAAAATAAAAATTCCCTCCAAAAAAAACCGATTGCATCAGTCGCCATTTATGGGCATGATCTTTTTTTTGTTACATCTGTGTGGGGAAATTCATCTGAAATGTCCCATCAATACAGCAACTTTCTCCGCTTCATTTAAAGCCAATCTAGTTTTATAGAACACATTAAATTACGTTAGAAACTTTTTTTTGACTTCATAGCTGATGCAGAATCCGAGAAATAATGCGAATTGATCACTACCGCGATGAATTTTCGACCATGTTCTCCCTTTTTTCGACAAACCGCTTAAGATTATTATAGAGTGGGTCTATATTCTCTACGACTACGAAGAATGCAGCATGTAAGGTTTACTAGATATTGAAGTTTTATAAATGAACTATGTTTGAGTTTTATCTCAGTATTTTAAATTTGGGTTTTTGATAAAAGCAACATCCTATAGGTTTTCTTGCGTTCTCAGTTTGATTATGATTATAAAAAACTATTTTTCCAGATGTTTATAAGGTAGCTGAGTCCGCCGTTACTATGGTTCCACCATCATTAGTAGCTAACCGACTAATGCTCTTTTTTTCAAGTAAGAGTTTTGTACGGTGGTCATGAAAAGTGAAAAAGCTCCTTACCTTATATGGTACATTCTTCAAAGTTGTAGAGAATGTAGGTCATGTCCCACTCTATAATAATAATCTTAAGCTATAACATAATATGATGTGCTCTATAAAACTAGATTGGTGTTACATGAAGCGGAAAGACTTTAGTAAAACGTGGGACACTTCCGATGGATTTACCCGTCTGATAAACATGTGGTCACCTTTTGAAGTTAGAACGAAACACTGACAAGTGGCTCGACATCCCATAAAACGGCATACTAATCTGTTCTAATTCTATGATATTTGATATCTGCATTTCTTGAACAGACTATTCCCTCAATACCTACTTTCGCTAATATATAAAAGTGTACTGTAAAAACT